TTTCCAGAGCCCCATTCTGCCGGCCAGAAGGACCTAGGAAGGTCCTTCAAAGCTCTGTCTCCCCTGGAGGAGGGCATGGCATATCCGTGCTGTCTTAGCTCCTGTTCTAGTCATTGGAAGCACCAAGATCAGTGAGACATTTTCCCTGCCCTGGAGATACTCATGGAGCAAATGTATTACTAAGGTTTGGTGAAATCGTTCTGTGTGCAGTTATTGGAGCAGCAAATTGAAACACTGAGTTGGAGTCTTGGAGAAGTCTTCACCAAAGAGCTGTTACTTAAATTGGGTCTTAAAGGAGGAGTTGGAATTTGTTAGGGTTTTCATGGTGGACAGAAAAGAGAATAGAGTAAATTATGCCCAGATCCTTAAACTTCCTGGCAGGAAGTGACAAATAACATTTCCATTTATGTTCCCTTGGCTAATGCAAGTCACACCGTCATACCTAACTTGAAGGGGAGGGGAAGTATAATTCTACCAAATACCCATAAGACTGAGACATAATATTAATGATGAGACCGAAGGACTTCCACAGTTGAGTATTTAGCTCCTTGGCCACAGGTGTATCTAGAGAGTTGGCCATTTTGATTTAAAGCCAGGACATTCCTCAGGTGTAAAGGGGCCATAGTTGGAGCAGGACTCATTTCTCTCTGGGATCCCATGGATAAGTGAACATGTCTTGTATTAACCATGTCTTTTCTGTATTTGATGCTTTCATATCTGGGGCCTTGTAGACCCTGGACGGACTGCCCCTACTAGAGTTAGCCAATTCCTAGAGATAGTAAACAGCTCTCCTGTGCATGTGCTTTTAAATGTAAACCAACCAATCTGGAGCCCATACCAGCAACCACCTCCTTTACTGAGCTCTCACACTCCAGGCCACTCTCCACCTGCCCTTGTCACCCAGGGCCAGTACCAGACAATTAACGTCAGTCCCTAGGCCTGGAGCCCGCTGAAATTATTTGAACTAGCCTATCCTAAATCTGCTTACCCCACCTCGTGTATTCTTTTCCACAGAAACCACAGTAAACACTTTTGCCCACATTTCTCCCCCCTCCCTCTGCTTCTGAACAACGCATATGCTTCCCTGTGTGCCCCACCCCATCCCACCTCCATGACATGGTGTGCCTCCTTCTCTTGGGAACTGTGAGTAACAAACTATCTTTTCGATGGCAATTGTCTCCTGATCTGTTTGCCTCACCATATCTAAATAATAAGACATATTAAGACATATCTATATTCTGATATCTCAGCTGTTTATATGATACCAGAAGCTGAGAACTGGAAGATGCACAGGCTGATATTCTGGGTCCCCAAACTGGGTTGAGCCAGCTGGTCACTGGCTAAGACCTGAGACTCCCCTCTTACAGATTCTGTATGGAGTCAAGAGGAAGAGAGGAAGGCTCAAGTTCCACTCCTATCCTGAGGACAACAGATGAGGCTGGATATTTCTTTGGAAGTCATAAACTTCCTATCTGGTCAACTGCCAACATGAAAGGGCAAGTCCAAGCTTTGGATCTGTATGGCTTCCTCGCAGGGCTCCCTGCTGGCCTCCCCGGAGACCTCCTTGGTGCCCACCCTCTCCTCAGGGAAGGGAGTGGACATAGGTAACAGACAGTGCTGGTGTTGCTACTGCCTGCAGCTGACCCATTGCACATGGGCCGCCATACTGTGGTGGCTGTTGTTATATAGCTCTGGTCAGAGTTAGTGGGACCAGGATTATGGAAGTAAGGGAAGTAAGTGGGAAGTGCTCCAGGTGGGATTTCTAGGCTTATGTACTGCTAATGAGTCCTGCTATTAACACTGTGATGTTGAGCACTCCTCTCTGGGCCTTATTCTTCTCATCCGCAAAATGGCCACAGCAGTCTTATTTCCTGACCCACAGGATTGCTGTGAAGATTGACCTCCCCAACCCACAGCAGAGGTATCTACAAAAAGCAACGAAACAACATAATGAAGTTAAACAAAACACTATAGCAAGCACTATAGTCAATGGTGAAATGCTGATAGCTTTCCTTCTGAGATCAGGAATGAGACAAGGATGCCTGCTATTATTACTTCTTTCCAACATTGTACTGGTAATACTAGCCAGTGCAACAAGGCAAGAAAAAGAAATAAAACGTATAAGGATTGAAAAAGAAAAACTAGAACTCTCATTTTTACAGATGAGATAGAATACGGTATATTTTTTAAAAAGCTAAAGAATCTACAGATGAATTGTTAGAATGAGTGAGTTTGGCAATGTTGCTGAATACAAGGGCATTATACAAAAATCTATATATGTTCCACATCTATATTGCCAAGTAACAAATCACCCCAAAACCTCATGGCTTAAAACCACAATAGTGTTTTATTATCTCTCATGGTTTCTGTTCATTTTGGATTCGGGAAGGGATCAGCTAGGGTTTTTCCAGGGTTTTTCATATGGTTGTAGTCAAAGAGTAGATGGAACTGGAACAGTAGGGGGCTGATCCAACTGGGGACTGGTGAGTCCTCTTACTCTTTTAGTCTCAGGGTCTTTGCATATGGAGTCTATGTGTAGCTTACTTCAGACTTCTTTAAAGCACAGCAGCCTAGGACTTCTTACATAGTGGCTTAGGGTTTCAAAGACAAATGTCCAAAAGAAGGAGCCAGGCAGAAGTTGTATCAACTTTTACGACCTAGACTCAGAATCCATGTGTCATTTCCACCATATTTTTTTTATTAAAAACCATTCACTAAACCCATCCCTTTTATAGGGGAAAGTTATTAGATTTCACTCCATGTAAGAGTGAGGGAATTTGTTGACTTGTTTTAAAACTACTGCCCTGTACTTACAACAAACAGGAAGATAAAAAGCCATATAAAGAAACCATTTATAATAGCATCAAAGACTCAGGACTAAATCTAATAAAAGATATGCAAAGGCTCTACATAGAAACTAAAAAAAAAAAAAAGTGAGGCACGTGGGTGGCTCAGTAGGTTAAGTGTCCAACTCTTGATTTCAGCTCAGGTCATGATCTCAGGGTCATGAAATGGAGGCCTACATCAAGCTCCATGCTCAGTGGGGAGTCTGTTTGAGATTCTCTCTCTCTCCCTTTGCCCCTCCTCTCGGCCCTCTATAAATAAATAAATAAATAAATCTTTAAAAAAGAAAGAAAACTATAAAACATTGCTGAGAGAACTTTAAAATGAAAAAAATCTAAATTAATGAAAGGACATACCATGTTTATGGATAGCAAGACTTAATACTGAAAATGTCGATTTTACCCAAATTGATCTAAAGATTCAATGTGATAGCAATATAGCAATCAGAATCCCAGCAGGATTGTGTGTGTGTGTGTGCGTGTGTGTAAACAGACAAGCTGATTTTAAAAATGTCAGTGGAAGTGCAAATGTCAAGAATAGCCAAGACGGTCCTGAAGATAAAAGTGTGTAGACCTCTTCTATTGGGGCACTTATTATAAAGCTACAGAAATCCAGACAGTATGACAATGGCACAAGGAGAGAAAAATAGGCTAATGGGACGGACTTGAGAATTCAGAAACAATACACATATGGATAACTTGATTTATAACAAAGTTAACACTGCAGAGAAGTGGGGGGGAAAGGTGATTTTTTCAATAAATAGTGCTGGGTCAGCTGGATGTCCAGATGGAAAAAAAAAAGTAGAGGGGCCAATGGGAAATTCCTTCTGATGAGATATGGCAATGTATTTCTAGACACAATGACTGCTGAAATCTATTTGGAAGTTCTTTCCTTTCTGAGTAGTAATTTCCCTCTGTTGTTCCCAAACCTTTAGCAAAAGCCTGTTTCCCACACCAGTCTTGTATTAGTGGATCTTCATGGTCACAAATAGTGGGTCATAGCTCGAAGTCAGGACCAACAAAGCTCAAGTAGCAGTGGGAGCTAAGTTCCAAGCTGGCTCCTGAGTGGGCAGAAAAGGGAGTGACCCTTTTCTCTGAATAGCATCGTGTCCAGCTGCCATCTACCAATCCCATTCTGACCCACTTCTGCCTCCTGGCCTCCTGGCACTTCCCAGCTAGGCATCCCAGTGTGCCAGAGCCAGGAACCAGAGGGCGGTGGTGCAGCGGTCAGTAGAGGTGAGGGAGTGGAGACTGCTAGCGTAGACAATTATGAGAAGGGGAGGAGCAACAGGTCAGCTGCTGCAGGTGATGTGAGGAGTTTGGGGGCTCTTTTCCTGTGGGAGAAGGAGCCTGCTTCAGTCACCTTTCTGCTCCACCATGGGAACCATCCCATTTCTGTTCTTCTCTGTCTCCAGGAGAACTTGGGGGTAGGGGTGGTGAGGGTAGATTCTGGACCCTCAGAACTTCAGTTTCTAGGCCCTTTCTATGGCCCTCTCTCTCCCTGTAATTAAAGGGGTCAGGGCCCTCTGACTGCTCCCAGTTGTCTCAGACCTGGATCCTCTGGGGGCGGTGGGCCCACTCACTTGGAGCTTCATTACTGAAGTGACTGTCCTTGCCTCAGTTTCCTCACACGTAAAGTGAGAGTTTAAGCTCAGCAACTCCCAGAGCCCTTCTCAGTGATTCTGATCAGTGGGACAAGGAGGGAGGGCCTCCTAAGATCAGCCGCAGGCGCTGGGCCGTGGTCCCCCTGGGCAAGGCAGCACCCATCTTCGAAAGTGTTCCTGTCACCGCCTTCCTCCCCCGACCCCGCTTTCTAAATATTCAGGGTGGGCAGTGTCCCACTTCTGGGAAGGGGTGTCAAATGGGCTTCTCCCTCCCCTTATCCTTGGTGGGGAAGGCGGGACGGGAAAGGGCCGTCTGGACCGGCGCGCACCCCTCCCGGACCCCCGGGGGTGCAGAGCCCGGCGAGAGACCCCGCGGCGGCCCGCCTCGAAGGAGGGGCCCCTTCCCCTGGGCCCGGGCCCCCGGCTCTCCGCGGCGCCGGAGGCCGGAACAATAGCACGCGCGGGCGGGGCGGGGGCGGGGGCGGGGCGCTCCGCCGGGCCCCGCCCCCGACCCGCCCCCCGCTCTCGCACACCCGCTCGCACACTGGCTCCCACCCGCCGCCCGCCCAGGCACTGCCCGCGGGAGCCGCCGCCGCCGCCGCCGCGCCCGCCATGGACGTCCGCCTGTACCCCTCGGCACCCGCGGTGGGCGCGCGGCCCGGGGCCGAGCCGGCCGGCCTGGCGCACCTGGACTATTACCATTGCGGCAAGGTAGGCGGGGGCCGGGGGTGGGCGCCGAGGCGGGCGCGGCCTGCCTGCGCCTTCGGACCCCGCGCCGCGGCGGGAGCGTCCCGGGCTGGAGTGCGGGACAGGAGTCACCTGGCGGCTCGGGACGGGACATTCTCGGAGGCCCACGGGGGGAGGTGCCGGCGGTGCCAATGCGCGGGGACCCGCACGCATCAGCCCCGCCGACGGGCACATGCCACTCACATAGATATCCTCGCCGTTACACTCACGGCTTGAGTTATTCCGTTCACAGGCAGAAGTCACCTCGACAGTCACTCACACGATGACACAGTGACACACTCGGCCACCTCCCCCGACAACCCCACATTCATTCACAGGCTGACACATAGTGACCCACTGTCACACACATAGGCGGCCAAGCACCTACTTACACTGTCTTACCGTCCCACACAAGTCACCCTAACAGTCATTTATACACAATGACTTGCAGTCACTCGCCCACATACACTGTCACATCGCCACATACAAGTCACCCATTCACACAGTACGATGCCTCACACTCCGTTACATGCCCCCCTCGCCTGTCACACCCAGTCGCAGCTGGGGACGGTCACACAAAGAAGTTGCTCCGACAGTCACACGCTCACACCCACCATCACTCACACGGGCGCACAATGTCACGCATGCACAGCCACCCATGTACGGTGAACCTGAGACACACTAATCGCCTGGCGGTCACACAGCCACACGCGGTCACACCCAGCCTCCGCGCCGCCCCAGCCCTCACCCTGGTCACCAACTCGCGCGTCGGGGCTTTAACTTTCCGGCGCCGAGGCGCACTAATTGGCCGTTCACTAATTGGCCGTCACTGCCCGCCGGGGCCTGGGATTCCGAGTTGGCAATGGCCAATCGAGGCCTGTCCCCTCCCGGGAACGGTGAGCGGGCGTCCCTCCGGTCTGGGGCTGCAGTGAGGGTCACCGGCCCCTCCCCCCACCCCAGTCTTTTCCGAGATCGCCGCCCCCAGCCTGGTCCCAGCTGCGCTGCCGCGGCGCGTCCTCCCGATGGAAGCTCACGTGCCCGGCACCCCGAACAGAGAGCGGCAGACCCCGGCTCCCCACGCCGGGGCCGGCCCGGGACGCTTAGGTGCAGCTGCACCGTCCGCGTCTCTTCCCTCCTGGGGAGGGAACTTTCAAACTTAGTTAGCAAGCCAGACGGGGGTGAATCCGGCGGTAGGCGCGGGGGTCCGGGGCTGGCCGGAGCCCAGCGCGGCTTTTCGTCACTCGGAGCCCGGATTGAACGGCGCGCGTGGGTTTCCCCGCGGCCCTGGCGCAGACGCGCGGGCTCCGTGGCGCTACGTGGTGAGTGCGCGTCGGGTGGTTGGATGGGCGGCCCTCCGGGGTCTCAACCTCACCCCACCCACGGGCTTTACGCGAGCCCCTTGCTGTGTGGATGCTGCGGGAAGGGGGCGTCCCCGCCCGGAACACGGGGCCTAGGGGCTGGGCCTCGCTGAATGCGTCCTCAGGCCCTGGGGAGCGGCTTCTTGGGTCGCAGGGCAAAGCCCTCCGCAGTTCTCCCCGGGTGGGGAGTGGGGTCCTGGGCCAGTAGAGCCTGGGCTGCATGCGGATGAGGTGGGCGGCAAGTGAGGTCTCGCAGCGGGGGGGTGTGATTATCTTTGTCCGGAGACTGGCAAAGTTAGAAGCTGAAGAGGGGGATGGTGTCCTGAAGAGAAGGCGGTTCTCGGGCTCTTTCCGGTGTGTTGGAGGGAAAATTGATTAAAAGTAGCAAGTGGAGTCTTGAGGGAGAAGATCATTGGGTGCGGGGGCAGCAGGACTGTCTTCTGCCCCTGGCTTTATTTTTTAAAATACTAAGTTGGCAAGGTTCCAGCCTCTGGTTTGGGGACGTGCGTGGGAATCGGGGATTTGTGCCTCAAAGTCTGGATCGGTGGGTGGGTGGCCTTTAGCCCGGAGTGTTCCTTTTGCTGGTGGTGTTTCTGTAAACCCCGCCAGAGTGGGGTGGTCCCACATGTGGGCCTTCTTGGGGGGGGGGCACTCAGCTGAGGCCCCTGCTTTATTCTGATGCTCTGTAAAGCTCTGACTCAGCACCAAGAACTAGTGTGAAACCTGGCCAGGGAGGGACCCACTCGGGGAATGAGAAGCTGGTGATTTCTGGTTTCTGTCTGTGATCTAGAACCCCTGGCCCAGAGCCGAGGGTGTGTCCAGGTGGAGGAGGGTGGCTGCTGGGCCACCAAGGTAGGTGAGAGAAAGGTCTGACCTTGCGCTTGGATGTGAGACCTGCTTCTCAACCTTCAGGCTTGTGGCAGGATGGGGCAGGGGAAGTCACTTGGCTCAGCTAGGGGTGGGTCAGATGCCTGTTGGTGGCAGATCCCAAGTGGGCAGTCATCTTTAGTGCTGGTGGTTGGGAGGTAGGGCACATTGTTACCAGGGTCTGATGGTGAGGGACTGGGGAGGGAAATGCCCATGCTCCATTCTTACAACTGATCACTATCAGAACTGGAGCAGAAACAGGCCCAATTTATAGGGCTGCAGAACCAGGACACAGCCTGCACACTGGGGGCTTGGTCCTTGCAGTCCACACAAGAGGCTTGTCCCCACAGGGACCTAGGCCTGAGAAACAAGGGCAAGCATTTGCCCAAGTGATGCCGGACAACTGTGGGACAGTTGACCCGAAAGGGCCCTTGGCGACTGTTCCCTTGGTGACTGTCCCCCTAGTGATACTCTACACAGAGATTCCAGCCACTTTAAACCAAAGTCATGATCAGTGGCTGTTCTTTTGGTATCTTTTGTTTGAGAAAATACATAATGGCAAAAACTGCTATGGTTTCATTTTTGCTTTGAAATAGATGTTATTTTATTAATCACAATAATATTAACATGCATTTGAAAAATAGCTTCCCAGATATGAGGCAGGCACGTTACTCATTTCACGTAATAACAGTGCCTAGTGAGCATAGGAGCTTGTGGCCCTGTGGCTCCTAGGATCTGTGGCCCCATGCTGGGAACCAGATCCTCTCCTTCTTCATTGCTTCACAGAAGGGGAAACTGAGTCACAGAGTAGTGTACTCACAGGTTACATAGCGTGTGAAGAGCAGAGTTGAGGCCTGAACCCAGGTTTTCTTGACTCCCAGCTTGACACTTATATGCCCTCCCCTCAAGTCTCTGTCATGGTTTAGGGGCTAGGGGGAGATTGTGACACTCTTCCTTGGGTATCTATGAAGTCCCTTCATTCTGGCTTTGGTAAGGCACTTTACCAGGCTCAGGGCATTGCCGGCCCCCCCCCCCACTCAACTACGGCAGGCTAGTGTAAACTGGCCATTGGAATTGGGCAAACGTGGGTTCAAATCTTCAGTTGTGGCTTTGTGATGTAGGGCAAATGATTTGTGGCTCATTTTTTTACTGAGATATGATTGACAAAATAAAATGCAAATTTCAAGTGCATAGTTCCATGAGTTTTGACAAATATAAACACCTGTGTAACCACCATCCCAATCCAGATTTTGCTCATTTTCCATACCCCAGAAAGTTCCCTCGTGCTCCTTTCCAGCCCAGAGTCTCCATCGCCGCCTCTACAGGAAACGACTTATCTGATTTCTATTATCAATGCTTTATTTAAGTTCAGTTTCAGTGTACTAAGTATACTTAAGTTCTAGAATTTCATACACAGCATATACATCTTTGCATCTGGTTTCATTTTGCTCAACATAGTATCAAGATTCATCTGTGTTGTGTGTGTGTATATATATATGTATATAGTTCTATTTTATTGCTAATATTACATTGTATGGGTATAGCTCAAGTGGTTTATCTGTTCACCTGCCAATGGATGTTTGGGTTTGTTTCCAGGCTGGGGCCATTATAAATAAAGCCTCTGTGAACATTTTTATACAAGTCTTTTCGTGAGAATTTGCATGTCTAATGAGCTCCCGGATGATGCTGCCGGCGTGGTCCAGCGACCACACTTCGTGTAGCAGTGGTTTGGTTGTTTGTGTACAGGTTTCTGTGGGCTCCTAACACCTGGCACAGTGCCTGACCCAGAACTACTCAGGAAATATGTGCGTGGGTAAGTGATGCAACTCCCCACCCATACAGCTCTGGGCACAGCATCTTGTATCTTGATGGGGATCAACACAAGCTCGGCTAGTGAATGATTGGAGCCTCCTTGGTACGAAAATCCAAGAAGTGGGAGTTGCTGTCCCCACCTCACCTATACTTGAGATTTGTGAGGCCTCCTTAGCATTTCTGGTGGGTGAGGTCCCCACTGGTTCTTTCTGCAGGGGCACAGGTGGCTGTAGGTGGGACCTGTGGGTGGACCTGGGCCAGGTGAGCACTGAGCTGAGATGGCTGGTCCCGGGGACTCTGGAGGATGTGAAGAAGCTCTTCTTTACTTTCTATCTAAATGTGTTTTCCATAGCCCCTCCCCTAGTCTGTCCTGAAGGGTCCTTACGACCAAACTTCTGTACCTTATAAAAATGTCAGGAGCCACAGCCCAGGCCTGGCACTGCTGCCTACCCCCCCCCCCCCAGTCTGCTGGGCAACCTTAAGCAAGACAGTGCCCTCCTCTGGGCCTCTTTTCCTCTTGGGAAAGGGAAAGCAAATCAGTGAACATAGTCTAGTGAGATGGGGAGCTAGTGTGGAGATACAATGAATGAAGCCTCGGCATATCCTTTATAACTCTAAAGTGTAAATACACCCAGGAAGGTTGAGGATGATGCTTTTAGAGGACTTGTGCCCTCATATACTTCAGAGGGCAGGAACCACTGTGTCTACCTTTACTTTTGTGTCTCCCCCCCGCCCCCAGAGCTGGTCTGGCACATAGGTACTCAATAAATATTTGCTGAATGAATGAATGCATGAATAAATTCAGGGCTCGCCAGTTTTCCTCGGTAGCTTGAGGAACTTAGCATCTCTTTGGCTCTTATAAGATTTTAGTGAGCACATCAAATCCAGGGCAGAGCTGGGGCCAAGAGTCTCTTGGCTGACCTGTCATTCCTAGAGGAGCTTACCCAA